AATAACACTGTATTTCTATTGCCTTGCAATTTAACGTTGATTTGGTCCATATGTTCGGTCATATCCACGAAATAGTAAAACATGAGGAGCCACTCAGTTTAGGCTAGCTCACGATGCTCAATGCATTTTATTTCAAGGAACGTCCGGATTTCGTTCAGTCAAGCTGCAAAACGGCTAAGCACCTTCCCTTTTGACAACCAACGTACCTTGCTGTGCAAGATCAGACAATGATAGTTTATTTTCAACTTCATCCAGCAGAGCTTTAAACTGTCGATCAGTTGAGGCTCGGGTAACAATAAAGTTAATCACACAAATGACCAGCGACATCACTTCGCCAAGCTGCCCCGTCACATATCTGAGCACAAAGAGCTTCCTGGTGTAGAATGCAATGGAAAGGTAGGATGGGTCTATTTTCATATTCACAGGGAAGCGCTAGAATTCCTTTGTTTTTCCCGACCATACATGGAACACCATCTGTACACACTGAGATAAGTTTATCCATGGGTAGGTTTTTTTTCTTGAGCGAAATCCATGAAAGACTTGAATAAAGCTTCATCTCTTGTGGACCCTTTTTATTGGCGGAACCGCAAGACTTTCTTCGTGCAGTGTATCACTAGTAGCATATCTTGCAATCACACTGAACTGCGCCAAATGGCTTACGTCTGTTGACTCATCCAAAGTCAGGGAAAAGAATGGCGCTGCATTTATGTCTTTCACTTGCGTTTCCTCCACATGGGTTTACCATCATTACGGTTCGCTTATGAACAGTTTTGCCGACAATGGCATGTCTTGTATCCGTTTAATTAACTTGTCTTTGTTCGGAAGACCATCAAAAAGTTTATCGGCTACATCAAGCAAGAACGTTTTAGCAAACTCGCCATCTGTGAATGGTTTTCCGTTCCTAACTATTGCTCAAGATCCAGCAAAGCTCGCGGAGTTATAGTCACCTTGCTGGCTCTATACGCAGAGTTGCTTCTGGCTGGTTTACATCCTGCTCATTAGCTCTTGGCATGCTTTCTTTCGGCTA